TCTTGTCTTCCATCCCTTGAATCTATTGATCATAAAATAGTTGCAGTAGCCATGTGGCTTTCTACCATGCTGACCTTCTCCCCAGGGTTTCAGAAAGGACAGGGACAGAACATCAGGCAGAACATCACTTCTTTGAGAGCAAGCCAAAATACAGAGAGATGAATTTGTCCCAAATGAGCAACTCTCAAAAAAAATTTGGTGACCGTAGAGAAATATTGTTGCTACAAGTTGAACATCCTTAATCTGAAAACTCCAAACTTTAAACGCTCCAGGCTCTGAATTTTTTTGAGTGTCCATGATGATGCCTCAAGTGTAAAATTCCACTGCTCTCACATGAAAGATCACAGGCAAAATGTTGATAAACTAATAATTGTGCATAAAATTACCTTCAGGTTGTGTTTATATGGTATATAGGAAGCGCAAATGAATTTCCTGTTTGGATTTGAATCCCATCCTTAAGATATCTCATCATGGGCATGCCAAAATACTCCAAGATCTAAAATCCAAAATATAATTCCACTGCTCTCACATGAAAGATCACAGGCAAAATGTTGATAAACTAATAATTGTGCATAAAATTACCTTCAGGTTGTGTTTATATGGTATATAGGAAGCGCAAATGAATTTCCTGTTTGGATTTGAATCCCATCCTTAAGATATCTCATCATGGGCATGCCAAAATACTCCAAGATCTAAAATCCAAAATATTTGTGGTTCCAAGATAAAGGATAAGGGATATTCAACTTGTATTACTGGTAATAGTAATCTCTTTGAATTGATGAAATTTAATAATATTTAAGTTTATTGATTTAATTAACATTGGTTTTCTTACCTTGGTATTTATGTTTAATTATTTAATATTAATTTGGTAGTATTAATATTAATGACATTACATAGAACATAAACTTTCTGACCCTTTGAATTCAATAGTACTTAAGTACTGCTTTTTTATATCTTATCCTGCTTTTCTGAACATATGCAAACTGTGAGAAGTAATTGGCACATTTATTGCTCCATGCCCAATATCTCATTTCTATGATGTTTCCCCCCTGAGTAAGCCAGACAGTTTTGAATATAAAAAACTGCAGATAGCCTCAAGTTCATTCTGGGTGACCATAAGGGATGACCAGACAAAGGGAAGTTCACAGCCTAAGTAATGACATAAACTAGCTATTTTGGTCCCAGGGTCCATGGTTGGTTGTCCTGTTTATTTCAAGAGTCAGGGCTTTGTATGTCTGAATTTGAGTGTTTCTAGGGCCATCTGGATTCAGGGGTGACTTTTCTTGCAGCTTATTTTGATTGCTTATTTTGATTGCTACAGCCCTCACATCCAGAAGAGAAGCCTCAGTTGTACCCTGGCTCTGGGACCAAGCTTAGACAGCTCTGCTTATTTCCTATTTGTTTGCCTGGCTGTTGATCAGATTTCTGAAGTGTCATTAGTTACAAGTTGCTTTGCAAGTGAGTCCTTTTTTTGGTACAAGTAGGTGTGAGAACTAGAGATGCAGGAAGCCAGTGAATGTAAACTATCATCCAGATTTCACTCCCCAGAGTTAAGGGATTGGACCAGCCTCAGAAAGGCCCTTACATCTAGTACCGTCCTATCATCCCACAGGAACTCTCTTCCCATGATGACATTCCCATGATCACTGCACCAACTCTGTAAAGCCCTGAAATTTTACAACACACCTGGCCAACAGGGGAATAACATGTTATGAAAATGTGCCCTTGGGAAAATATTTTCTTAAAAACTGAACTAAAATTTGAGACATGTGCTAGCTAATTGGATCCACATTCACCAGTGATTTCTCCAAGTTTTCACATTGCCCTTCTTCTGAACCTAGAGGAAAGGAACGTTGAGTTATTTCTAGTACTTTACATACACTTTCTGCTTCATCCTCTCAGTGTCAAGGATAGATAGTGTTACCCTTGCTTTATACGTGAGAAAGCAGAACTTCAAACGGTTACATCAAACGGGATCTTGCAACAGCCAAATGGGGGTGGGTGCTGAGCTTGACTGCAGATTCGTGTTGTCCTTTTACACCCTCCCAGTTTCAGCACTATACTGAATCCACTTTCAAGTTTAGATTGAAGATGTTGAATATATTTTAAGAAAAGCATAAAAAACCACACATGCAAGCCATCAATCCTCTGAGTCCTTGATCACTGTTACATGA